AAAAAAGAGGAGGATTGGCATGGATGTTAGCTCAGGGCTGATCTTCCTCACAAAAAAAAAAAAAAAAAAAAAAACACACCAGCAATGTTAAGTGCAGAGGGACAGTAGAGAATATTTTGTCAAGCAAATATATTGTCAGGCAACTACTTTCTCTTGGACAAACAGCCCATGACAAATACACAAAAGACTGGAATAGCTGCTTCACAAAAGAAGATACCCAAATGGCCAATAAATGCATGAAAAGTTGCTCAACTTCATTAGTCATTAGAGAAATGTAAATTAAACTATGAGATGACACTTTACACTGACTAAAATGTCTATAATTAAAATGTCTGACAACATCAAATGTTAGTGAAGGTACAGAACTAAATCTCTCATACATTGTTGGTAAGAGTGTAAAAGAGTATAATCATTTTGGAAAAAAGTCTGGTAGTTTCTTATAAAAAGAAACATATACCAATTCCATGACTCAACCATTCTACTCTAGATATTTACCCAAGAGAAATGAAAATATATATCCACAAAAATATTTGTACAAGAATGTCTATAGAAGTTTTATTCATAGTAGCCTCAAACAAAAAATAACCCAAATGTTCATCCAAAGAAGAATGGGCAAACAAATTGTAGTATATTCATACAATGTGATGAAAATAATCAAAATAATAAGAAATTGTCACATGTTGAGATGTGTAGGGAAGCCATTCTGGCTTAAACCTGATTCAGCCTAAACTTGTTTTTCCTAGAGCAGCCTGACTTATGACCTGTCAAACATGCATTGTACATCTGCTTTAAACATTAAACATTACCCCAAAGCAAAGGATGCACTGTCTGAGGATAGGGACAGATACCTCCCTTCCTCTGACGTCAATACCAGTGCTCTTTTGAAGGTAAATTTTTCTTGCCAGAAATCAGGGTCAGGTTGACCTGCCGCACACATGCGAAACTGCAGCAAAATACTTCCTTGTGACTTTGAGGAAAAAAACGTATCCCTGTCAGGCTTGATGTATGTTCTTTGTTCTGAAATGGGATATTATCACGCTGCAAACTGCGCTTCTCTGGAACACTTTCTCCCTTTGTCAAGACTGCCTTCCTGGCTCAAGTAAAATTCACCTTCTCTCTCCTATGTATAGAATGGTTACTGGTTATTTGTGTCGACAAATGAAATACTCCTCAGCAATTAAAAAAAAAAGAACAAACTGCTGAAGCAAGCGACAACATGGGTGAATTAAAAATCATGATGCTGAGTGAAAGAAACCAGATACAAAAGTATGCACGCTGTGTAATTTTACTCATGAAATTCACAAATAGAGAATAGCCGTCTATAGTAATAGGAACCAGCGCAGTGTTTACCTTTGGGAGGTGGGGATTGAGTGAAAATGAGCACAAGGGAACATTCTGGTGTCATGGAAATGTTAGATATCTTGACCGGGGTGATGGTTACATAGGTATATGCATTTGTCAAAACTGCATTTCACTATATGTAAATTTTATCTCAATAAAAAAAATGGAGGAAAAAAAGAATATGTATTTGACAACTATGGAGGCATTGGGGACCAAGACTCATAAATTGGAGATCTTACACTGGCATTATATTTTATTATCTATTAAGTGAGAGATACTCATATTGTTTATTTCTTGACAACACTATACTGTAGAAGTGACAGGTATTATTCTTCCCACTTTACAGTGAGGACTAACTAAGGCCCCAAAGGGCTACATGACTAGATGAAGACAATACAGCTGGTAAGTAACAGCACTGGGACTAGAATATAAATACTATGTCCACTAAGACAGTGTTCTTCGTCCTCCGCCAATTCTCCTTGTCTTTCAGTGTTAAATTTCTTTCATAAGGAATCATGTGTTAAGACAGAAACCTCTGTTAAGCCAAGTGGTTATATTTTTAGCAAACATTTATTAAGGGTCTATTATATTATGTCCCAAGTGCTGAGGATAAGAAGACAAATAAGATACACCTGTCTTAAAAGAGACACTGTCAAAAAAAAAAAAAGGCACAAACATAAAAATTTTAAAGCAACGTGACATAAGTGGAGGTGTGTGCAAAATGCTCTGGAAAGAGCCGCCACCTCAACGTGAGGCAGTTGAATGCCACGGCAGCCGAGTCTTGACACGTGGGTTCACCCAGGAAAGGATGGTAGAAGAGCATTAGGCCAAGGCAACAGCACCAACAGAGCCTGAAGGATGAGACAGTATCAGGAAATCACCTAGAAAGGTAAATTGGACCAGATTAAGGAAGGTCATATTTGTCAATCTAGGAAGTTTGGACTTTATAAGTGGAGAGTGACAAAAAGTAGCTTTGTATTTTACAGAAATGATTCTGGCAGCAGTAAGTGGAGGTTCTGAGGTAAGGGCATATGACAGAATCAAACAACCACAACTGAAGGCAAGCAAAGTGAAACAGATTATGCTTCATAATGGAGATGAAATTCAAGGGGAAATCTAAAATAGCTACATCTCAAATCCCTAGCCGTTCGGTACTGCACCAGGGATTTCCTCCAACGGAATTGCTGATCTGGAACCCTCATCATAGAGTTTTATTCCCCAGTTCCAGTATTTTAAATTTTCATGAAATTGAGGCCTTCAAAAATAAATAAGAGAAAGCAGGTTCCATATCTCAGAAGAAAAGCCTTCTGTAGCATCCTTGCCCCTACTCTGAAGTGTAATCAATGAAAGTTCAGTTTCCCATGAGGCACAGGAAATGTGGAGAAGGCAAGTGTCAGGAAATCAAAGATCATAACTCCAGGTCTTGATAACCAATTTATATTCTGGCCTTGGGGGGGCACAAATTATGCCCATCAGTTGTGTAAAGTGACTTTTCAATTTGCACACAGGCAGATCTGGTTCAAACACACACACACGCACACACACACACACACCTTAAACCCAGTTCCCACCTCACTCCTCCACCACATGAGCACAGCAAGACCACAAAAAGCATTGCAAAGATTGCTAATTACACGAAACATTTTTATGGTGATGGCACAAACAAATGGCATTTAATGAGTTGTAATATTAACTTTAAAAGGAGACAATAAATAATTTTCAATGAACAGGATCAAAATCTATGGGAATATTATTTTCCATATTGATAATAAGTTGTATCTATAATGACTCATTGGCCACATTTTCTTTCTTTCCTTATTCTGACAAAAGGACAATGCTTCCTATGAAGATTTTCTGAAGCAAGCATTTTATCCCACTGGCACATGGAAATAGTGACCTTATTTAGTAACCTGAAGTTATGCTTCTTTTATGAGGCATAAAACTCTGTCAGCAAATAAACAACACTAATGAATGTTCACATGAAAACTGGCACCAACAGCGATAAAGAAAACATCCGGTGCATTCTGTAAATACCCATTTGGGGGCTATATAAAAGTCTCAGCAGGGAAGGAGATTTTGGAGTCAGGCAACTGGAGTTTTGGAACTAGTCTTTGCTCTTCACTTCTAACAGGATGACTTCTGACAGCTCCCCCACGGGCAGCTCTCCTGAATCCTGTGCCAGGGCTTCTGATTGTGCGTTTGCTTCTACCTGTCCCGTGGAAACCACTTGTCTCCCCAGCGCCTGTGCTGCATCCAGATGCCAGACCCCTAGCTTCCTATCCAGGTCTCGCTTGCCAGCCGGCTGCTTCGTGCCACGCCACTTTGCTGGGAGTTGTAATGTTCCGTGCTTGGTAGGGAACTGTGCTTGGTGTGAGGATGGGGTGTTCAACAGCAATGAGAAGGAAATGATGCAGTTCCTGAATGACAGACTGGCCAACTACCTGGAGAAGGTGCGTGGCCTCGAGGAAATGAATGCAGAGCTGGAAGGCAGGATCCGAGAGCAATGTGAAGAGGATATCCCATTGGTGTGCCCCGATTACCAGTGTTACTTTGACACCATTGAAGATCTCCAACAAAAGGTCTAGTGCCTTACTGCCCTAATGCTCCACCTTCCCAATCTCTGATTTGCTTTATCTTTTTACTGTTCTATGGAGGAAGCCAGGGAAAGGGGACTTCCAAGAGGCGATGTGATGTAGAGGGTCCAGAGTACTTAACTAGAAGTCAGGAAACACCAGCACTAGCCCCAGTGCTGCCTCTAATTACTGATTGACCACAATAAACTCACTTACCTCTAAACTTTACCCTATCATCTATAGAATGATGAAAAACTATTAAATCTAAAATTACTTCTGTATGTAAGGCTGTACATCTACATTATTTTTAGCATAAGATATTGAAATGTCATTTTTTAATCATATAATTTCACCTGGTTATCATTTTCTTTTCTTATTGATGAATTGTTATTATCATGGCTGGGGACATAGTCATCATACAAACTACTTACAGAGAAAATTTTGAGTTCAACTGCCAAGGAACATTGCAAAATGTCTTGGGTCATTAAAAAACTAAACCTTTTTATTTCTCTATTTTGTTTATAAATTGGCACTGTTTTTTTCCTTATGAAGTGACATGGTTAACAAGAAAAGCAGGCTGAAAGCTATTTTATACTTTCTTATAAAGACTTTTAAGAGATAAATAATGGCATAGATGTTACATGAATAGATACTCATGCTTCTTTCAAAAAAACATTTATTACATAATAACTTACTTTCCAGATCTTGTGCACGAAGGCAGAGAATTCTAGACTTGCTGTACAGCTTGACAACTGCAAACTGGCCGCCGATGACTTTAGGTCAAGGTAAGTTTAATTTGAATTTGAAAATAATTTATGGTTGCCTCTATCTTTCTCACACGCACACACACAGACACAAACACAGCACAAATATTCTCCATATAATATATTTTTATGCTAAGAATTCTCACAAGGCTCGAATTTACCATTATTTGGGATATAAAGGAAATCACAGCACGTGGCTTCCCGGAGTCCACGTGTCACTCATCAGCACGCCCAGCACTCGGCACAGTGTCAGCAAGGTAAGCACTGGCTGTATCTCTTTTGCTGTGAAAGGTATGAGTCTGAACTGGCTCTTCGCCAGCTGGTGGAGACGGACATCAGTGGCCTGCGTGGGATCCTGGGTGAGCTGAACTTATGCAAAGGTGATCTGGAGGCCCATGTGGAGTCTCTGAAGGACGATCTCCTTTGCCTTAAGAAAAACCACGAAGAGGTGAGGAAAGTGGAAAATCGCTGAAGGGCTCTCAGAGTGACAAAGTTAAACTGATAGATTTCATGACATATATATAAAATTGCACTTGGGTAGATGTGGCTTAAACTGAAACAAACTTACTCGAGGCACTACTACTATGCAGCCTGATCATTCCCATGTGTCTCTGAATGTAGATGTGAAATGACCCCTGGCCAGTGCCAGATGAAGGGGCCAAACTCATCACCTGCCATTACTTTTGTGGAGTTAGCTTTCTCTGGAGGCTTTATGCCACTCCTAACTCTAATCCATAGAGTGTGAAAATCAGGCTGATAAACACAGAGTATGAAGGTCATTTCAAAAAGGGGATAAATACCCTTAAGGTCCATCCATGTTCCCACAAATGGCAAGATTTCATCTTTTTTGTGGCTGAGTAGTACTCCACCGTAGATATATACCACATCTTCTTTATCCTTTCATCCATTAATGGGCACTTAGGTTGCTTCCAAGTCTTCCGTATGTGGAAGATAAACAAACAAACAAATACATAGATATGGAGAACAGATTGGAGGTTACCAGAGGAGAAGGGGGCCAGGGGAGGGCAAAAGGGGTAAAGGGGCACGTGTATGGTGACAGATGGCAACTAGACTTTTGGTGATGAACATGATGCAGTCTATACAGAAGCTGAAATATAATGATGTACACATGAAATTTATATAATGTTATAAACCAATGTGACCTCAATTTGAAAAGGGGGGGGATAAAGACTCAGGCAATATTTGGACAAATATTTTTAAATATTCTGCATATATAATCTATATAAAATCATAAAATATGAAGTGTATGATTATCTCATATTGATGAAGCTAAAAAATGAGAAGCTAAATGATATAACCAAGAACATTTTCTCTTTGAACATTTGTTGATGATAAGAGCTAACATTTATTGAGACCTCATTATGTGCCAAGGACTTTTGTAAGTGCTTTATACGTATATTAACTCTCATATATCTCATAACCCTCTGGAAAAGGTAAAATTATTATACCCACTTCACAGATGAAGAAACTGGTGGTGAAAAAAGATTCAACCTAAGGAATCTAAATCTAAACTCCCTGCTCCAAAAAACAGAAGTGGGAGGCTATTGAGATGTCAAAGTGAATTCCTGCCCCCCCCCATTCTGTGACATTCTTTACTCCATTTCCACTTTCAGGAAGTCAGCTTGCTTCGTGGACAGCTTGGTGACCGCCTCAGTGTGGAGCTAGACACTGCCCCCACCATCGACCTCAACAGGGTCCTGGATGAGATGCGCCATCAGTACGAGATGGTGCTGGCCGACAACCGCAGAGAGGCAGAAGAATGGTTCGCTGTCCAGGTCAGCACCTGGGGCAATAAAGAGGCAGGCTTCCAGATTTCTGCCTTATTCGGGTTCTCTAATCGTGCCCGTGTTTCAGACGGAGGAGCTGAATCAGCAGCAACTGTCCAGTGCGGAGCAGCTGCAGGGCTGCCAGACGGAGATCTTGGAACGGAAACGCACAGCCAACGCTCTGGAAATTGAGCTCCAAGCACAGCAAAGCCTGGTATGTAAGGGAAAGACAGCTCTGTGTTGTCCCTGAAGAATCAGGCCCTGAGATACTATTCCCTCTTCCATAACCCAAAAGAGACACCCACAGTTCAGGTGGCAGAAGGTCTGAATTTCCAATTTGCAAAGGATTGCCTCTCCTTGCGTTTCCCAATCACCACTGTTTACCCGGCTGGAAGCAGAAATGACAGGTCAACAGCCTGTACTGTCCCAATGGGGTACCACGACCCTCCCTCCTAAGCTTGAGCATGATCCTGCAGCACCCCTCAGAGACAGAGAGAGAGAAGGAAAGGAGCAGAACAAAAGAGGGACTTCCGAGCCAAAGGCACTCACGCATTCCAGTGGGTTTTAACTCTCTATTGATTCAGGTCAATTTTCCAAGCTTACCATCATATCTAAAATGAAGAATCGTTTTCAGACTTTGCATTCTACAACTATCCTAAAGTTTCGCAGGATCCACTCCTCAACCTGACCCTTCACTGCACCCTACTCCACTCAAGCAACAAGAATACCCTGCATTCAGATGACTTTAACCACTTCCAGTCAAACACTGCTGTGTGCCACATCAGGTCCTATATAGCACACCCAGGAGAACAATGGCTGAGCACTCATCTTGTGAGAGAAACAACCCTCATTTAAGCCTCACAGTAACCTTATGGGGTAATTCCCTTTACTAACCCCATTATACAGATAAGGAAAACTGAGACTCAGATTAAGTAACTGGGGGTCATGCAATCGTTAAGAGGCGAAAGTGGAAGCTAAATCCAGTGGTTCAATTCCAGAGCCTCTTCTCTTAACCACACTATACAGCCCCTCCCGTTTAAGAGCCCACACTCAATGTTTCCTCTCAAATGCTGTTGATCCTCCGTAAGCTACACAAGTGTGTTTCAGGCTGTGGTGGTCACAGTGGTGGTAGGAATAACTAACACTTATATAGCCCTTAAAATTTTTCCAGGAGCTGTTCTAAGTGCTTTACACATATTAACTCATTTAATACTCACAAGCATCCTATGAGATAGGTACTTTGCATTCCCCATTTTTTATAGAATAAAACTGAGGTGCAGAGAAGCTAAGTAATTTTCCCAAAGTCACACAGCTGGAAAAGGATAGAACAAGGCCTTGAAACAAGTGATCTAGCCCCAGAGACTGTGCTACACAGTCCTTTTTACACTCATTTCTTTCTGCAGACGGAATCTCTGGAATGCACTGTGGCAGAAACCGAGGCCCAGTACAGCTCCCAGCTGGCCCAGATACAGTGCCTGATCGATAACGTGGAGAACGAGCTGGCCGAGATCCGCTGCGAGGTAGAGCGGCAGAACCAGAAGTACGAGGTGCTGCTGGACATGAAGGCCAGGCTGGAGGGCGAGATCAACATGTACTGGGGCCTCCTGGAGAGCGAGGACAGCAGGCAAGTTCCACACAATTACTCTCAAAATCCCCCCCAGTCTCAAAGAGGCCCATGTAGGAAAAGCCCCTTTCTCTAAGATCTGGCCAAGGTCAAACCTCCCTAGTATATTAAAGTATCTTCTTAAAAGAGTGATGAGAAGCGGCTGAGGCTAACCAGATGACAATAGAAATGTTCAAAAATATTCTGAAGTTCTAAAGCAGAATAAGCATCATATATAACATTTCACGCTGGGGTCTCCCTCTGCTCCCGTCTTCCATTCAAGAGAAACTAGGAACATGCATAAGATGGCATTTGCAAAGCGAGAACATACATAAGATTTTATTCAATTGCCTCTGCTGCGGTGAACACAAAGCGACGACGCAGGATCCAGGGAGGAAATAGGCTTAAGTCAAAGGTTATTCTGCAAAGAGTGTTCTCCAGAACAAAATTTGCAGGGCAAATTTTGGCATCATTTTTTTCTGAGTTGACATTTTATCCAGCTTTCTCTTGTTAAGCTTAGTTCAAAATGGCTTTTACACAGGCTTTCCTGTAACCCGTGTTCTACCACAAGCACGTCAAGCAATACTTGTGAGCCGTGCTCGGCGTATGTAATGTGTCGGTACATTTCTGCTTATCATTTCCTCTCCTGCCTGCTTATTGGGAATATTCTAGGCATCTATAAAGGTTTCTTGCTAACCTTCAAATAAAATGTGTTTCATTCCTTTAGCGTGGTAAATATAGCTTGTGGCTTATCACTGTTGATATAAAAACCATTTGATGCTAAGGTAATTGTCTAAACCCATGTCGATAGTTTGATTTTGCATAAACTCAAGCTGAAAATATTTTTTAACTCCTGAAATACAAATAGATTAACTAATCCATGCAAAACATCATATATTATGGAAGATAGTTGTATGTATCTTTCCGAGAGGAAATTTAGGAATAAAATATAATAAATTTTATTTTATTTTATTTTTAATTATAAAAGTACTAGATTCCTTTTTTAAAAATTTGCCACGTGAAAGGGAGAAAAAAATCAGTCATAATTCTATGCCCCTAAACATCTGTTGTCAGTATTTTGGGAGCTTCCCGTTTTCCTTCCTATAATAGGCTTTTCCATATAGTAGAAATCATAGTTACATATGCCTATAGTTGTCTAACCTATTTTTTTCACTGTCATCTAAGCATTTTCAATTCTAATAAACATGTAAGATTGTCTTGTGACCATTATTTCAGTGGCTGCATAAGATCCCATAAGGGACATTGGTCTGTTATTGGACATTTAGGGTATAAGAAGAATTATTCTCACACATTTAAAAAGCAAAGTAGAGAACTCCCACTTCCAGAAAGATGAAGTAGATGTACTTTTCCCCATTCCTCTTCCTAAGTAAGACTAAAAACCCTGCAAATTACATATAAAACAAATATAGGCAGACTCTGAAAGGTGCAAGAAGACGTCAAACTGACTAGAGTCCTCGATGTCCAAGGAGCAATAGAGTGGCGAGGCCCTGGGTTTTCTTTGCACCTCATCTATCCCATAGCGGGCGCTGGAGAAGCCAAGGACCCAGAAACACCAGCAGGTGCAGATAGAAAAAAAAAAAAAAGCTCCAAGAAGAGGAGTGACGGATGTAAAGGGAGGTAAGCTTTCTCTACTTCACTGGAAGCGATACCATGTCAACACCAGTAGACTATGATAAGCTATGTCTGTATAATGCAAGGCCTAGAGCGACTACTTAAAAACTGTGCAAAGAAATACACTTAAAAATGCTAGTGATAAATCAAAGTGGAATTCTAAAATATATTCAAGGAAACCACAGGAAGGTGGGAAAAGAAAATAATAATTATTATTATTTTATATTTTACATAATAAATTATATAACATAATTATATTGTTATTAAATAAAAATAAAAAAATAAGATGCAGACTTAAGCTCCATGATATCAATAATTACAGCAAATGGAAGTGGTCTAAATACACCAGCTAAAGGACAGAGATTGGCAGAGCAGATAAAAAAGCATGACCCAGCTATGTGCTTTCTACAAGAAGCTCACTTCAAATATAATCACATAGGTAGACTGAAGGTAAAGGAATTGAAAAAAAAAATACATGATTGTTCATAGCAGCTTTATCTGTAATAGCCAAAAACTGAAAACAACCAAAATGTTCTCAAGATGTCAAGGCCATTATGCTGAGTGAAAAAAGGCAATCTCAAAGGGTCATATATTGTACAATTCTATTTATATGACATTCTTGAAATGACAAAATTATAGAAATGGAGAACAAGTTAGGTGAAGCGTGAAGGAGATCTTTGAGGGGACTGAATGGTTGCATATCTCCATCGCAGTGGTGGGTACATGAATCCACACTTGAAAAATATAGACAGAACTAAACACACACAATGTATCAATGTCCACTTCCTGATTGTACAATTGTACTATAGTTGAGTAAGATATAATCACTGGAGAAAACTAGGATACATGGGACCTCTCTGTACTATCTTTGCAACTTCCTATGAATTTATAATTCTTTCAAAATTTAAAAGTTTTAAAAATCACGCACAGTGGAAAGCTGGAGAAAAGTTCTCCTCTTCACTTTTCTATTTCTATTTTTTGAGCACTCAGTAATAAAGCACATAATAATAATAGTTAATACAGAGTTGGTTTAAAGAAAAGTCAAGTTTCAAACCTGAAATTTTATGCCGGATGTGTTTACATAGCACTCTCCTGATCTAACAATAAAGAGTAGTAAAAATACTCAGAATAAAATATTTTTCAGGGGCCGGCCCCGTGGCTTAGTGGTTAAGTGCGCGCGCTCTGCTGCTGGCCGCCTGGGCTCGGATCCCGGGCGCACACCGACGCACCGCTTCTCCGGCCATGCTGAGGCCGCATCCCACATACAGCAACTAGAAGGATGTGCAACTATGACATACAACTATCTACTGGGGCTTTGGGGGAAAAATAAATAAATAAAATCATTAGAGGCACGGAGAGGAACCACAAATACAAATGAACACACCAGAGTCCAGCCTCCAACGGCTCACTTGGACCCATCCCCAAAGCACCTGCTGCTGCCCAACACACCTTCAACCCCTGACAGCTATCTTCTGTTCAGCAGTGTTGTCAGCCAGAATGCAAAACCTTTGTTTGTGTTTGTGTTTAAGCCCTGGCTATCTCAGGTGGAAATCTTAGGCCCAACACAGCTGTTAGTCTTAAAAAAAAAAAAAAAAGTATTTTTCAGGTAGATAAACCCATGAAATATTGTTCAAACTCCATTACTCTGATAATGAAATTGGAAAGAAATTTAATAGTGTTGCATCATAAAAGCGAGCCCTGGTGGTCTAGTGGTTAAGATTCGGTGCTCTCATTGCCACCGCCCGGGTTCGTGTCTGAGTCTGGAAACCACACTGCCCATCTGTCAGTTGTCATACTGTGGTGGCTGCGTGTTGCTGTGACGCTGAAAGCTATGCCACTGGTATTTCAAATATCAGCAGGGCTGCCCACAGGTTTCAGTGGAGCTTCCAGACTAAGACAGACTAGGAGGAAGGACCTGGCCACGCACTTCTGAAAAAATTGGCCATGAAAACCCTATGAATAGCTGTGGAGCATTGTCTGATATAGTGCCAGGTGAGAGGATGGTGCAAAATGACCAGGCAGGGTTCTGCTCTGCTGTCCACAGGGTCGCTAATAGTTGGAATTGACTCGACGACACTAACAAAAAAAGCGTCATAAAATCACAAACCTCAGCCACCTGGAAGCTTCCACCATATAAATCTCACAGACTGTCTGTCATGCACCTGTTCTCTGCCTTTCCTATGGTTTCTTTTCTGCCTTGGTTACGATTGTGGCAAAAAAAAAAATGTTTTTGTTTAACAGTTTCCTCAGCATCTGTAATAATTTCCAACGAACTATATCCAATTTCCTCTCAGAAAGATACACATGACTACCTTCCAAGATATATAACATTTTGCGTGGATTAATTAATCTATTTGTATGCTAGGAGTTAAAAATATTTTCAGCTTGGGTTTATGAAAAATCAAAGTGGAACTTAAGTAGGAAAATATCTGTAATGTAAGATAACGACGTTGGGGGCTCTCGTGTTCCTTTTAGCCTTTCACAGCTGTTTTTACAAGTTTTTGCATAGAATTGCACTAAACATTATGTTAAAGACACAGGTTAATTCTAGATCTGACCATTTCTTGGGTTAGCCACTCAGTTCTAAATGGTGTTAGGGTGGGAGGGCTCAAGCTTTTCTGACCATACTGCACCTGGACTGGCAAAATGGCCTTTCCTCTCTACCTTCCAATAACGAAAAAAACTTCTAAAATGCTAAGGGCATTAGATATATGTCTACTTTGCAGTAGTTTAATATATTTTTATTTGCATAACAATGAATATACGTTTTTAAATCTGGTTATTGGAAAAGTATACACCAAAATTATCATTGATAACAAATCTGGATCACTGTATACTCTATAGTTAACCAAACAACCCACAACAAATTAATTGATAATGATGATGATAAACTAGGAGTGAATTATACATAAAGAGCAAAGATTTCAACCATTGAAAATTTTGATATCTCAAAACAGTACTGAGAAGTCTCCCTCGAAATTGCAGGAATGCCATCTTCTTCCACATGAGCATACGCAGTAGGCACTCCCCTGGGTTGTCAAACATTGAAATGGCCCTTGTACTTTTGGATAAAACAATAAGACCTCCTTCCATAAAATCTAGTACAGCCCTAATTTTTAGTTAAGAATATAATATCTCCATAGCTTTAATAATGCACTAAACAAGATGTCAGTAATTTTAGCACTTGGTGTTACATAAAAAATATAATCTAAAATATAATGCATCATTCATCTGTAAGAACCAGCAAAAAGTCTTGCATTCCAGGTTCTGTGTACAACTCACCCTCATGAGGACCCTCATGCAAAACAATGGCCTCAAATTTTACCTGCTCTAAATGCAAGTAGCATTCATGACTCAAGGCTCAAGTTTCTCATAGTGTATATTTAGTATTTACAATTCATGGATTCCTTGCTGGCTCTGCAGAGGTAGATATTCTCTTCCTCTCCCTTAGCTACTTATTTCAGGCTGGACCTAAAGCCCATCCTTCCTCTGTCCTGCACAGCCCCTTTTCCAGAAGACTCCATCCAGGACAAAGCCATAAAGGGAATGGCTTTCTATCACTCACAGACTTGCTCTTTCAGGAGAGAGTGTGGATTTAAGTTTTTACAGCTGAGATTCTCCAAAATGTCACATCAAAAGGAAGAGAACAGGAGAGAAGCACTTGTGGCTGCAGCATCTGGAACACGCTGCCTCCTCAGGCCCTGAGGGAAAGAGACTGTCCAAGCATCTTGAACTAGAAACTAAAGGCCTGGTTACACCTTGCCTAACTGCGAGGGGACAAGAAAGTGCAACCTTCCCATGTGCCCAAAAGGAGAGGAGAATCAAATATAGGTGAGCCCTGGAGTCTCACCCCAGAGCAGTCTTGAAACACCTAGATGAGGAAAGGAAGAGGGAACCCAAAAATAAATATGCCGTGAAGAAACAAGGCAAGGAGAGCTTGGAGAATGGCAAGGGATGCAATTTGGCTAGAATGTATGGAGTGGGTACAGAGTCATGGGACATGAGGTAAAGTCAGCTGGGTCAAGATAGCAGAGAGTCTTCACTGCCAAGTAATCAAGAATGCTTCTGGAGGAAGCATTGAGCATTTCTGCATAGAAAAATGGTGACATGTTAAGGCAGATAAAGAAGCTCTTCAAGATGGACTATGAAGGTTAGCCAGATTGCTAAAAGTTAACGAATGAGCTGGTGGTAGGAAAAGGAAGGTGACGGATACCCACTGCTCTATCAAAAAGTTAAGTGATGAAAGAAAGGAAGAAGCTGCCTTCATGGAAGAAGTGCTTAATAGTTATGGGTAAGACATATTTTGAGGTCAGGTAACAAAAACGCTTAAGGGAAAGGAAAATTGATCAAATAATAAAGACGTGAAAGATGCAAGAAAAGAGGGATATCATTGACGAAATGTGGTCTCGAAGGAATCAAAGAGGAATCAGCTCCATAGCCAAATAAAGCACTCAGCCATGGGAGGAAGGAACAACTCTGTCTGAGAGACACAAGAGGAGAAGAAAAATGATAAGATGGAGAGACAGGTATTGGAAGCAGAAACATTAAATAGTTTTCAAAACTTTTCTCTGATTCTAAAAGTGAAGATTCAATTTATGGAATGGCTATAAAAACATAAAGAAGAAAATAACATTCATCAGTAATTATAAAATGCAAAGAATTCCATTTAACATTTAGATATTTTTCCTTCTAGTCTTTTTTTTTTTTTTTTGGTATGTTTTAAAAACTATGAACTTTTTCAAACACTGTTATTTTATGGAGTCAAATTTATCCATTTTTTATGGTTTCTTGATTTTGAGTCACTGTTATAAAGGTCTTCCTCTGAATTATGAGAAAATTCTCCTATGTTTTCTTTTAGCACATCTATGATTTCAATTTTTCACAAGTGAATCTTTGATCCATTTGGAATCAAGTATGTGAATAAAGTAGTGAATGTTCATATAGTTACATAGCTGCATCAAATTTTAACTTTTCATGTTAACTGTAATTTAATGGGATATAATTTTCATACATTAAAATGCATTAATTAAAAGTATATAGCTCTATGAAGTTTGAAAAACATACACAGTCATGTAATCACCCAGATCAAGATATAGAATAGAATATCAAGATGTGAAATATCAATCTTGAGAGTTCCTTCATGCTCCTTCCCAGTCAACTCACCTCCCCCCCAAGGAGGCAACCACTCTTCTGATATCCAACACTGTAGATGAGTTTTGCCTGTTCTCAAAGTTAACATAAATGTAATCATACTGTTTGTGCTTTTTTATGTCTGACTTCTTCAGGTCAACATAATGTTTTTGAGGTTCTCCCATGTTTTTGTGAGTATCAGTAGTTCATTCTTTTTTGCTGTTGAGTACTATTCCATTATAGGAATATACCACAGTTTGTTGCTCAATCATTATCCTGCTTATGAGCAGTTGGGTTGTTTCCATTTTGGCGCTATTAAGAAGAAAACTGCTATAAGCATTCTTACACAAGTCTTTTTTGTGTATACGCACTCATTTCTCTTGGGCATACACCTGGTCATGAAATTGCTGGGTCAAAGGGGAGGTCCTTTGTCAGATATGTATATTGTGAATATTTGCACCCAGTATGTGCCTTGCCTTTTCACTTCTTAGTGTTATATTTTGATTAGCAAAAGATTTTAATTATGATGAAGTCTAATCTACTTTTTTTATAATTAACGTTCTCCATGTGCTAGAAATCTTCACTTAGCATGGTTATAAAGATATTGTTTCATGTTTTCTTCTAAAAATTCTATACATGTAACCTTTGCATTTAAGTGTTTAATCCATCTTGAATTAATTTCTATATATAGTGTGGGGTAGAGCTCAAGAGGTATTCATTTTTGCTCTACAATTATCCAATTGAATCAGCAACATTTATTGAAAAGGCTATCGTTTTCTCACTGACTTATTGTAGGACCTTTTTCAAAAATCAATTGACCATATATATGTGAGTCTGTTTCTAGACTCTATATTGTTTTTCATTGATCTATTTGCCAACCCTTATGCCAATATCACACTGTATTGATTATAGTAGCGTTATAGTAACTTGTATGAGTTTACACTCTCACCAGCAATAAATGAGATGCTGTACACAATACAATGCATTTGTCATCAATCTTTGATTTTTTTCAATCTGATAGGTGGCAAAAATAAAATGATATCACAGTGTAATTTAAATTTACACCTCCTTTCTTATGAGTGACATGGAACACTTTTTCTAAGTCACTTTTAAGTGCCTTTTGTATTTTCTTTCTGGTCACTGTCTGTGGTGTAATTGCAAATATTCTTTCCCAGTATATCATCTGTCTTCTGATTTTATAGGTTGTGTTTTTTACTCAAGCACAAGTTATTTGATGTAGTCAAATTTATCAATGCTTTATGGTTTCTTAATTTTGAGTCATTATTAGAAAGGCCTTCTGAATGCAAATTTATAAAAGAATTCTCCTATGTTTTCTTTTAGCACATTTATGATTTCACTTTTTCACATTTGAATCTTTGATCAACATGTAATTTGTCCTACTGTAAGGCATGAGGTATGATTCCAACATTCCCTGGCCTGCCCCCCCGACAAGCTACATGTGATAGTCTATCTTTTCTGCATTGATTTTAAATGTCACGTTTATCATATACTAAATCCCAATCCATTCGAGAGTATTTCTTGACTTATTCTATTCTATTAGTCTGTCTGACTGTTCATGCATTAATACCACACTATTTTAATTACTGAGGCTTTAAAATATATTTTAATATCTGGAAGGACTAGTCTCTCCATGGCTTTTCTTTCTTAGAATTTTCCTGGCTATTCAAGTTTGTTTGATTTTTCTCATAAAACTTCAGGATTATCTTGTCTAGTTGAAAAAAAGTCAATATTGGGAGGATCTTAATAAACGTATTGGGATCTAAGTTAATGTAGAGATAACTGACATTTTTATAATGATGAATAGAGTATTTCAGTTTAAGAACATGACATATCTTTCCATTTAGTCTAGTTTTCTGTCTTTCAGTATATTTTAACACTTTATTTATGTAAATCGTGTACCTTTCAAACTAGATTTATTCCTGCATATTTTATATTTGTTCGTGCTATTGTAGATTGTTTTTTCCTTACATGGTGTAATATGCAGAGTAATGGGCCCCCAAAGATGTTCATGTCCTGATCCCAGAACTTTGACTACATGATAAAGAGGAAGTAAGGTTGCTAATCAGCTGGCCTTAAAATAGCAAGATTATCCTAGACAATATGAGTGGGCCCAATATAATCACAAAAATCCTTAAATGTAGAAGAGGGAAGAAGAGTCAGTGTCTGAGTGATACAATGTGAGCAAGACTCCACTGGCCATTGCTGGCTTTGAAGATGGAAGGGGCTATGAGCCAAGGAATGTAGGCAGCCTCTAGAAGCCGGAAAAGGCAAGGAAATTATTTTCCCCTAGAGCCTCCATAAAGGATCAGGAACAAATAACTTTCTAAGAAAATGCTGAGTCTGTATTCCTGAGAAAGAACGCAGATACCTTTCAATAGATCATATTTAAACAGCAAACATAAACCAACACCATGACAAATTTTTAGCTAATGTATACCACAAGCAAACACTGAGCACTAAAAATGTTATAAAAGGTGGGCTTTGCAAAACCAAAAGGTCACCAGCCTCTTTTCCAAGAAATTTGTTAGCAATCAAACCCTACCTGGAAAGCTAAAACAGGAATCTAGCAATTTCCTTTAAATAAAGCCTTATTTAAGACTAACATTTTAATCCATACTCACAATGAAAATGGGATAACATTTGGACTGAACAAACAACAATGAAAATGGGAAAATCACTTGGGCAGAATAAAATAAAATACTGATTTCTAAGTACACCAATAATTATTAGATATTAATAGTTTCCCTTTTCTAGAGAAGAAAGGGAAAGAAGGATGGACTCATTCGTGGTCAGGCTCAATGCCAGGTGGAGAGGTCAACAAGGACTTAATGAAATTAATATACTCACATCTGCTTAATAATGGATGCTGTTAGAACTGCGACGACAGCTCCTTTTGAAGACATCACGTGAAGCTCTGGATCCAATGACAGGTAGCAGTTGTGATGGGTAACATCTTAGTAACAGCCTAAACGCACATTTTTATGAGACAATTAACTCTTCTTAGGCGAGTAAAAAGCAGACTAATGAGATGTTCCTATGGGATTTGATATAAACATTAGAAAGGAAAACATCCTGCCTGCTGCAACACCCCCTAGAGGAAAGGCTATATAAGCCCTTCAAGGAGGAAAAAGCCAAGAGGCTTGGAATTCAGACTCAGTCGCGGTTGCTTGAGCTTTTGATCCAGGGGACCACAGACTTTGTAATAAATCAAAGCTGGACACACCCTATGGATACCAAAGGCTATATAACAACTATTTCTTCTTCAACACCATGCCAAAGCTGCTCTAGGATTACAAATTTTAGGACCATCTCTTCTAACACCAACTGCCAGCATGGTGGTCTTAAAGCCAACAGCTGCCAACCAACAGGTCATGTTCTGAAGACTCGCCAGACCCCAGGCTGCCAACACACTCCTTGCTTGTGTCTCACGCCCATCTGCTTAATAAGCAATTTCAACGCCTGTCCCTCTGCGGATGATTGTGGCTGGGGTGGTGAAGGCATCAACAGTAACGAGAAAGAGACCATGCAAGTCTTGAATGACCGCCTTGCTAACTACCTGGAAAAGGTGCGAATGCTGGAACAAGAGAACGCTGAACTGGAGTGTAAAATCCAGGAAGAGAGTAACAAAGAGCTCCCTGTCATCTCTCCTGACTACCTGTCCTACTATGCTACCATTGAGGAGCTCCAGCAGAAGGTAAGATTCTTAGGAACCTGTATAATCAAGTTGTGAATTGATGCTCTCCAAGCAATAGTCATTTGCTAAACTTTAATATCGTTAGTTCCTTTTGTGCTGAAACATATTTTGTAGGATAAGAAAATCTCTTGTATGAAATGGTCCTCTTGAGGCAATATTCAGAGTTTTATACTTTTTCACTTTCCGAGAGACACTCTGCCATTATAACCAGATCACTCAGGGCCAAAAAGTGTTAACAATTCATTGCTGCCATTTCTTTAATAAAAATAAGAACACAGGGATCTGAGAGAATGAATTTTGTTTTAGCAAGTTCCTAAACAGTTTAGTTTTTGTCCATTCTGCAACCATCACCACTCTTTTCCCCTTTTATGCTTATTTTATCATCTCCAAATTGTTTAGTTTCTTCCCACACTAAACCTAAGACTCCTATTCAGAGTGATATGCTGCTGCTACACATGCTGGATTTATGCCAGATAATTACCGAGCACCAACAACAGTGCACCAGACGCTATTCCAAGCTCTGAGAAAATATTGTGAACTGATAAGTCCCTGCCCTCGTGGTGTTTACATTCTAGTGGATCATGGTATGTTATGCAGATTTGGGGTGGATTTTATATTTTAATAGTAAAACATATAGAAAAGTTTTTATTGAAGGATTTTTTGCTGATCTTTTAGGAAAATAACAAAGCTCTGACTTTCCAAAGTTTCCCAAGCTTCCTCAGCATAGCTATGAAAAGCCAAACTAGCCTTTCTCTGTTAACTGAGACACACACAAAAGCCGCTTGGTTTTTGAAGAAGGAGATCTTGGTGTTTGTCTCATTTGTGTGTACAATTTCTTAATTCTAGATCTTGTGTACCAAGGCTGAGAATTCCAGACTGGTCTCACAAATTGACAACACCAAACTGGCTGCCGATGACTTGAGAGCCAAGTAAGCTCACCCAACACTGTCATTCATGACAGAATTCACACCGTGTGTGACATTCAACACTCCCAATAAGAGTATCCCCAAATCTACTAACTCTCCTGCCCCACACCATGTTGTCACTAGCCCATAGAAGACCTTCAAATTCAGTAAATGATTAAGATTAATAACTGCTCACATGTATACAGTACCTGTAGTTTCCAACATATGAACGCATCTGATTATCTGCACAATAGTTCAGTAAAATAGGTAGGGCTAATATATTGTTACCCCGTTTAAGGTAAGAAAGCTGTGGTTTAATGGGGTTCAGTTACTTATCTAAAGGCATACAAGTTGTGCAAGATACAGCCAAAACTTGGACGCAGCTTTCTAAATCCTAATCCGGTGCTCTTTGCACTTACACCGCATTGCCTCTAGGGGGAGGAGAAGAAGGATAAATTCCCTCAGCTCCAAGAATGGCAGTGTGGCATCACTCCGGCAAACTAGTTTAGGAATGATAAATAAGCGGTGAGTTTATCACATGGTTTCACCTCTAAAGAGAATAAAACCCACATGGAAATACAGTAAATAAGAGGCCCAGAAGAAAATGCCCGGAAGGAAGTTCTACTTGGCTTGATTCACATCATCTCCCTTTTAACATCTTTCTTTTCATGTCTCATTGTTAAAGGTATGAAGCTGAGGTGTCCCTACGCAAGCAGGTGGAGGCAGATGCCAATGGTGTACAGCACATCCTAAATGCACTGACCCTGGGCAAAGCTGACCTGGAGGCACAAGTCCACTCTCTGAAGGAGGAGCTCATTTGCCTCAAAAACAACCATGAAGAGGTAAGAGAAAGACCAAGGGAGTCATTACAGGCTAAGCCTCTAAAAATAGTATCAATTCCTTTGAGTTGAGTTTGACAAAGGGTGTCTTCACTAGACACTACTCTGTTTTTTAGCCCTGATAATACCTACTGCTACTACCACTAGTTCAATGTGTTTCAAACCCCTTGCCTGTAACACAATATCTGAAGCCTCTATTGTCCTCTCCAGCTTTTCTGGGAGAAGGAAGCAACCCAACTTTCCTGTCCTCACAGGTTTTCCATCTTTTTGGAGGTATCCCTACACAGACTTCTGCCATTATTGATGTAAGTCAATATTGGCCTAAGCCCATACTAGCGTCATAGAGACTATGATCTCTCATAAATTCCACCTCTATGGAATTCTTCATTCTCTATGCAATGTTTCACCCATTACCCATCCCTGGAAGTGATCTAAATTCTTTAAAACCTTGATCTTTCTAGTCAATTCCTTTTAATGTTGCAAATATTTGTACACATAGTCATATCTGAAATAGCCTCAAGTCATTTTATAGCATCTCAGTAGCATCTATAAATCATGTATTGCTTTATTGTGGGCTATATTTCAGATGCAATTAAGCTAAATTATTTCTATTAGACTCAAATGAGAACACAAGGGAGTCATCTGTTCACCAAGAGAGTCACATTCTTTTTCTTTCCATAGGAAATCAATTCCTTACAGAGCCAGCTTGGAGACAGACTCAACATTGAAGTGACCACTGCCCCTTCTGTTGACCTAAACCGGGTTCTACAAGAAATGAGATGTCAGTATGAGTCCATCATGGAGACAAACAGCAGAGATGTGGAACAATGGTTCAACACACAGGTAGGGAGGGTAGAAAAGTCAAAAACAAAAAGTTGACATTGCATTTCCAGGAACCCTTTAATCAAAGTCATGTTTTCCCTCAAAATATCCATGGTCCTTGACTGTGTTTCAGACGGAGGAGTTGAACCAACAGGTGGTGACCGGCTCTCAGCAGCAGCAATGCTGCCAGAAGGAGATCATTGAACTGAGACGTACCATGAACATTCTGGAGGTTGAACTTCAGGCCCAGCACCGAATGGTACACGGCAAGCTGGCCAAGCCTAGCACAGCAGTGATGGCAACAGCCCCTGACACCTGTGTGTTGCAATGTTTCCCAAATTGTGTCCCTCAGAACAACAGTTCTTCTGTTTTTGCTGAAGACTCTATGGCCAAAAAAGGACTTTATGGTCAAATAAGTCTGGGAATGCTGGATTAAACAAAGGTTAAACAGGATACCTTCCTGCAGGCCTTTAATAAGCTGATGTGCACCATGAATCTCCAAGAAGGGGACATATGGTATCCAGCATTCCAAAACTTATTTGACTGTCGACCCCTTTTCTTAAGAGAATTTCATGGCAATAATGATCCATGGAGTACACTTTGGGAAACACTAAGCAATTTATTATATGCAAAACATTTTCAAGCTATCAAATTTATAAAATAATCATATAAGGGAAGTGGAATAATTATTAAGCCAATTTTATGGCTGAGGCTCAGAGAGCTAAGGTCATTTTCCCAAGCCAAATCCAAGAGAAGTTTCATCTCGTCTATTTTATAGATAGAGATGTGAGATCCCAAGACATTAAGTAGCTTGTCAAAAGTCACCAAAGAAATAAGAGTCTGAGCCAGAATGCAGGTTCCAAAGCTGGAACCACTTCTGCCTCACTCTACTGCCTCTCTGAAGTAGGAAATTATTTAAATGCTCTGATATGAAGGGTATTAGGAAGACCTTGCCCCAGAGCTGGTTTTGTCACCAGCTAGTCAAGTGACCCTGAGCAACTCATTTAACCTCTTTAACCTCAGTTTTCTCATGTATAAAAATTGGGATAATCATGCAAATAATAGATTATTAAAACCTAAAATTCCATTATTCTTAGACTTACAGAATGATAGAGCAGGAAAGAACTTTAATCATCAAAGTTTCAACTCTCATATTTTACATATAAAGGAATTGATCCAGGAAGGGAATTGTTTATGGTTAAATGCTGCTCACTTCCTTTTTAAGGTTCAAACACTCCTAGAATGAGGTGCCCTAGTAATGCATTTTTAATGCCTGGGTGTGAAATAAGTTGGAATGTTTTCTTCTCTCATAGGTAGTAGGAAAGTGTGGTAGGATATTATCAGATGATCAAGAAAAAGTAGATGGGGCCGGCCCAGTGGCGTAGCGGTTAAGTGCGCACACTCCACCACGGTGGCCCAGGGTTCGGATCCCGGGCACGCACTGTCGCACCGCTTGTCAAGCCATGCTGTGGCGGCGTCCCACATAAAGTGGAAGAAGATGGGCACGGATGTGAGCCCAAGGCCAGTCTTCCTCAGCAAAAAGAGGAGGATAGGCGACAGATGTTAGCTCAGGGCTAATCTTCCTCACAAAAAAAAAAAGAAAGAAAGAAAGAAGTAGAGAAGTAAACACTTAAAGGGAGGCAAAAAAAGAGGGGGATAAAGGAAAGCAAGCTTTAGCATAGTTGATAATTTTGTTTTTGGATTTATTTGGTTAGGAGGTAATAAAAGGGCTTGGAAATTCGTTACTACCTGTCATAAAGAAACCATTGTTTAAAATGATACAGATCACAAGTGACCTGGGCTTAAAGGAGTCATCATTATAAATCCTGCTTTCCTCCTCCATGATAGAGAGATTCCCAGGAATGCATCTTGGCAGAGACGGAGGCCCGCTATGCGGCCTTGCTGGCCCAGATCCAGCGTCTGATCGATAACCTGGAGGCTCAGCTAGCAGAGATCCGATGTGCCCTGGAAAGACAGAACCAAGAATACGAGATTCTGCTGGACGTCAAGTCCCGGCTGGAGTGTGAGATTACCACATACCGCAGCCTTCTGGAGAGCTTGGACGGCAAGTACGTAAAGTAAAAACAGCTTCTGTGAGAAAGATATTCACACATACACATGTATGTACTATCACTGGCAACAGGGCACAAGTGCTTTGATCTTCTTGCCAGTGATGGGCAGCTTTGGATGGAAGGATCCATACACTCTCTCCAGCTGTGCGTTTGGACACCTACAACTGTCATTAGTCTAGCTGAGCTGAGTTGTTTTGAAGAGGCAGTGCACCAGGTTAGTTCCTTATAGAATTTTTAGCTTCATAAAGCTTTAAAAATTACTAGGGAAGAAAATGGTTTCCCCAAAGACGAACATTCCTGGCAAGTTACAGATTTTCCCCCACTGAGATGAATATCTGACATTCATGAGACCAAACAGGACAACCCTGCTCCTTTTGGAGGAACATTCTGCTTGGGCTGAAACCCCTAACCTTGTCCAGCCACTTGTCGTTGATGCCAACAGCATGATGTACGTATGTGTGTTTCAGAAGTTTTTCTTATAGAAGTTGTAATGTTTTTAAATGATAAGAAACTAACCAACCCATAACGAACTGACCTAGAACGCAGAGCTCTTTGAAATCAACCCAGTCCAAGCTAACACTCCAAATGCAGACTTGGTTACAATTGCTAAGCAGACCTTCCTCCCCAAAATAATCAGTGAACTCTGCTCACAGCGTTCTCTTACCTGGCATGTCCACATAATGCCAACACAATGTTAACCAGGGCTATCACCTTGAGGAGCTACTGTGTACCACCGCGCCTTGAATCATCAAAGAAAGATGAGGCTTTCTAAAAAGAGTTCTTACTGTTAACTGCTTCTAACTCCAATTCTCTAAAGATTATTCATTTATAGACACCCAGAAGGCATTTTGGAGCTTCCCAGTGAAGCATTGAGGACTCTTCAATAGATGGGGATCAGGTCACCAGTAGTACTGTGACTGACTCCCTCATAAGGAAAACATCTGGTTAACTTCCTTCCCTCAGATAATAAACCCTTTGACTCATCCCTTATCACTGTTGATCCTATCAACTTAATTCCATTATATCCATTCTGCAGATGAAAAACTAAATCTCAGGAGAGTTAGCTGACTTACCTGAGGTCACCAGCTGGCAAATGACAGAGCTGGGCTCTGCCCCAGTCTTCGACTCCTGGCGTGGTCGTCCAGAACACTGTGGCATTGACTGAAATGGCGTCTTACATAATCTAATACTTCTAACCCTAGGATGCTGCTTTCCTATGGATCGAGTCTGATCCTTTTTCTTCCACTAACGATAGTATAAAATGAATCAATAAGCATTAGGAAGTACTTGTTTTGAGTGTTGAAAAATTAACCACTGCCATTTTTCTCCAGGGCCATCGTTGCCTGCCCTCAATCACAGGTAAAATTCTGGTTTTTTCTAGGTTTGCCTGTAACCCGTGTGCCATCAAATGTGAGCCTTCCACTTGCACATTCAGTAAGGCCAGAGCCAAAGAATGCACATCTCCTATTTACATGTCCTCAGCCCCCCGTGAGATATGCGAGCCCTGCAGTGCCTGTGGAGCCCTGTCCCGGATACTGGTTAAAATCTGCACCATCACCAAGGAGATTAAGGATGGCAAAGTCATTTCTTCTCACGAGCATGTGCAGCCTTGCTTCATCACCAGACCTGCCAAAGTCTAACATCTCAAGTGATGAAAATGACCCTCATTCATGAAAGAGAGGCCAGTACTTGCTCCTGCCAAAAAGGTTTAAGAACCCTTCAGGTACTCAGTTTCTTACTACTATAGCAGGTCCCCATTGCTAAATAGAATATCTTTCATTCTGCTCCTTCCCTAGGTCACTGCTGCCAACATGATAATAAATGACATTTATCTGGGAGCACATTTCCCATTTATCTGAGGGACGAAAACTGATTTGTAAGTGCCCATGAAGCTGACCTACATTACTTGACTCCACAGGTGATGGTCAGGTTTCTCTTTTGTTTACTCAGGCCTTGTTTACTTACGTTCCTCATTAGAGCCAGTCAGACAAGTTCTAGGATTGTTTTTGGCCAAGGCACACGAAGGTGAAAAGCTACAACCTTCTCTTCTAAACTCCTTTTTGGGATATAGAAAGAATCCTATAGGGCCGGCCCCATGGCTTAGCGGTTAAGTGCACGCGCTCTGCTGCGGGCGGCCCGGGGTTCGGATCCCGGGCGCGCACCAACGCACCGCTTCTCCGGCCATGCTGAGGCCGTGTCCCACATACAGCAACTAGAAGGATGTGCAGCTATGACATACAACTATCTACTGGGGCTTTGGGGGGAAAAAATAAATAAATAAAATCTTTAAAAAAAAAAAAAGAAAGAAAGAAAGAATCCTATAAGGGAACAGCATGAATAGGGAAAATTTAGTTTCCTTGAATAGACAGTCACAAGTCTGATCCTGCTGAACCCTGCTGTCTCAATTACTGTTTATCCATACTCACATACTTTACCTTCCCCAAGATATTTTTAAAGATGTCCCTGTTCTCCAAAACTTCGTGGACCATTAGGTTCTCCAGATATTTTCATCGAGAATCAGGATAGCTGTGAGGAGTGAATCTAGAGCATTCTGAAGAAACAGCACAGATCTTTTCATTAAATGTTTGCTATTTCTCTTTCTACTCTTTAGGGAATGGGAGTTGGTTCCAATTCTTTGACAAGGGACATGTAGCTGGAACTCTGAAGACATAACCCTGCTCCTCTATCTCTCTGAGATGGCTGGCGAGAAAAAATAACTTAGATTCCTGCTACAATCTATCCATCAAAGAGAAATAGACTTAATATCCACAAACTTTGCAGAAACGTAATCATGAATAATTGCTATTTGTAAGCACAAGGTAGTCCCAGTGTGAGAATGCATCATTTATGTACCAGCCATTATCATAGCTTTTTACACAGGGTCGCAGAGGGTCTAAGTCATTCCCTACCAAAATTAGTTGACATAGAAGTTTTAGTAAATAATTCCAAATGTGGAGTCAAAAGGCCTGAAGTCCTGAACTTGCCGCTTCTTAACTGTGACCCTGGGCAAAACATTTAGCCTTCGTCAAATTTAATTTCCTTGTTTGTTAAATGAGGATCATGCCTATTTCACAGGGTTGTTGTGAAGATCAAATGAAATTCTTTATTTAATGCTGCTTGGTATGCTGAGAAGCACTGCACAAATGTTATTTTTATATAAGCTTTGCTTTTAGCTACAGCCCTAGACCTAATTATCATTACTATCTGGCGTTAAAATTCATTCTCCGTGAATTTAGTTATCCAGTCATGAGTTTGAAGTTTTAATAGTGTTTGGCTTTGGGGATAAAAAAGAATAGAACAAGATCTCCTGTGATCAAGCCCACAATTCTACTCAATAAAGCATTTTTGAAGTCTTAGGGTATGTATCAGATATCAAGTTAGTGGCTGGTGCCCACATCAAAGATAAAAGCTTTGTTTAACTCACAGCTCAGGAATCCACTTCCTCCAGTCAAGTAGCAGCTTACACTAAGCGTGTGGAATGCAGAACTCCCAGAATGATCTTTTCTATCAATAATTTCCCACTCATCTGAACGCCCAGATTACCCCTGGTCAGTATTTAATTGCATCCTACCTCAGAGTGAAGGGTGGAGATATGGGAAGAGCGTGGGGCTTGGACTCAGAAACCCTGGGGGAGAGTCTCAACCCAGCCTGTGTATGTGACCTTGAGTAAAAGGCCATAACAAGATAGGTCCCACCTGCCACATGGGATGATAATGGTGAAAGAGTCTTGTAAACTGTAAACTGCTACACAAAAGGGAGTTTTTATTCCCTAAATTGACAACCAGGCATACATCATTTCCTTCCATACCTTCCTCCTTTGTGTCCGGTTCAGTGATGGTCCCCGGTGGACCCCATACATACCATCAACACTAACTGGGAAACCAACTGGTGAGAGGCCAGAGCTGCTCGGTCTGCTCTGAGCTGGATTCCAACAGGATTCAGGGTTTAGGAACCTCGCTGGACTCAGGCTAACCCCAGGCTGATGCAGATGCCATTCTCAATTTATCCCAGAAATAGGATCTCTTCCTCCTACTCAGAACAAAGTGCCCCACATGCCTTCCACAATAAAAATACATTATTATATACTGCGTGGTAAAGAGGAGGTTTGATCACTCAAAGGCTTTTAGATTTTTTTTAGTGTTTTCTCTATATAAGGGAACGTAAAACCATCTGCTGGACCTTGTATATGAGTAGTCAAACCTTTTAAAGGCGATACGGAGTCTGGATTGTTACCAGGAAGCTAAATCAGTATCTTGTACAGCCACAGGAGGGAGTTGAAGGGGTTTTTTTACATAGTTTAGAAAGGCCAGCAGCTGGAATAGGAAAGGTGCTGATGGAGAGGGCAAGGGGGATTCAATACAAGTCTAAGTTTAGCACAGCTCGAAAGACAACCATGAATCAGGAAACAGCATGGTCTCTGGAGTCTGAGTTCAAATCCCACCTCTGCTTCTTCACTGTGAGACCTCAAGCTGGTTATTGAAGCTTTCTGAGCCTCGCTTTCCTCATCTGTGAAATGGGGATAATAGCAGTACCTACCATCAGATGACTGTGAGACTGAAATAAACTAAAGCATTAAACCACTTAGAGGAGTATCGGGAAAACAGTAAGTATTCAATAAATGTTAGTTGCTATTATTATCAATATTGCCATCATTAACACAAATGCAGCACCAGTGTGAGCCTCTTTGGGAGACAGTGCTGTAGAGTACTAGTAATGCCATTAATAATAATAATAATAATAATGAAATCTGCAGTGTGCTGAGCACTCACTGTGTATCAGGCCCTGTGCTGAGCCTGTTTCACATGCACAGCCTCTAATCCTCAGCACAGCTCAGCAAGGCAGCTCGTGTTACACTTCTCTCCGTAGGATGAAAATAAATCTCAGAGAGAGTAAGTGCCTCTCCCAGAGCTAGAAAGTGGCAGAGCCAGGATTCAGACCCAGATCTCTCTGACCCTCGAACTCACGCTCTTAAACGCTAGGCTGAATTATAGATACTTGAAACCAAGAAGTCTGTGAGTCCCAGTCCTGTAAGGCAGTTATAATACCAGGTTCCTTTCTCCCAAAGTCTGTAAAGTCCTAGTAAGACACCATCGTGCAGAGCATTGACTCCACGCAGCAGGAGGGCTTTTGATTTGCTAGAGCCTGTCTCGGAAAGGGAAGGGGTATCAGAATCCATTTGGTGGACCGTAATTATATTTGTAAACAAGAGAGGCATGGGGATACATTTTCTCTAGATTTTGTCTTTTTTCATGCTGACTCCATCTTAATAGGATAGCTGGTTTAAACCCTTCGGAATGCAACAGTAACCACGCTTCTCTCTTCCCCGTTGTCCCTGGACAATTAACTGCCCCCTGACCCCTATACATGGCCCACGACCTCTCCATCTTCATCCTCCAGCATCAATTCCGTCAATTTCTGCTTAGAAGAAGCCTCCCTAAAATTTTTCCTCCAGAGCTCAGTTAGTGGTAACCCCTTACATCACTTGCCTCCAGGATTTCTCTAGTTGACGCAGAAACCAAATCCCCTCAGGAGCTTGTAAAATTCAGATTCTTGGGCCTTACCCCAGCCCTTCTACAGTAGCTTCTCCAGGTGTGGGACCTGAGAATCCAAATTTTAATAAAAATTCTCAGCTGAAGTGTGTGTGCTGAATTAAAAGCCACTGCTTTCTAACTGATAGGTGCCTTTTGGTTTGGTGACTTGGTTTTGGTGCCTTTTTTGATGACTTGATGCCTTTTGGGGCTTTCTTTTAGGTTCTGACACTAGCTTGATAGATGACCACCCTTGCAGAGAAATCTGACCACACTGGCAGACAATTCCTCCTCTACACATCTAGCCACCTGTTTGTAAAGTGGAGTTAATCAAAAAGTTAATAAGTAACTCATTCAATAACTAACTCATTTAATCCTTACAACACTACCACGAAGTAGCTACGATTAATATTCCCATTTAATAGACAAGGAAACTAATGGACAGAGAAGTTAAATGACTTGCCCAATGCCACACAATAATAAGACTGGATTTTAAGTAATTTGTTTTCCTTAGGAAGGTCAAAATAGCACCTGATACATTATATAATCAGTCTCCAAGAATGGAAACGATCCACAGTAGCAACAGATTATTTTCAACTCTTCAAAGCACCTTTCTCGAGCTTGCTTGTCGCAGCTTCTAGCGAGAAACCACCCAAGGAGACTTTATGCCATTAGCATTGATAGTTCTCTTTGTCCAGAAATTCATAGACTGAGTTTTATTTTCTTAATTTTATTTTATTGTGTTAAGAATACTCAACGTGAGATCTACCCTCTTAACAGATTTTTAAGTGAACGATACAGTATTGTTATCTATAGGCACGATGTTGTCTAGCAGATCTCTAGAACTTACTCATCTTGCATAACTGAAATTTTATACCCTTTGATTAGCAACTCTCCCTTTCTCCTTCCCTCAAGCCCTTAGCAACCGCCACTCTATTCTTTGCTCTTTTGAGTTTGACTATTTTAAATACCTCATATCTCATATAAGTAGAATCATGCATTATTTGTTTTTCTGTGACTGGCTTATTTCCACTTAGCATAGTGTCCTCAAAGTTCATCCATGTTGTCACATATTGCAGGATTTCCTGCTTTTTTTAAGGCTGAATAGTATTTCATTTTGTGTGTGTGTCACGTTCTTTTTTATCTACTCATCCATCAATGGACATTTAGGTTGTTTCCACCTCTTGGCTATTGTGAATAGTGCTGCAATAGAGATAGGAGTGCTAATATCTCTTTGTAAATTAGAAAGATATTTTGATGGCATCTAAGAGCATTTATCACATCAGAGATATAGAACCTGGGGCCCAGGGAGAAAGGTGACTGGTCCATGACCACATGGCCAGGGAGAGGATCCAGCACTCTTTCTTCTACTTCTCCTTCTCCACTGCATCTGTGGTAGAGAGCAGTGGAGTTGGGTTTGATGGAAACAACTCTGGACCAGAAGGCAGTGACCTCTGGTTCTAGTCCTTAGGAGGCTCATTTGACTTCTCTGTGTTGGACTCTGCGTACTCCCCAGGGATCTTTTTGATCTAACATTTTCAGTGTCTCTTACA